TTAGGAAATCCTTCCCTGATTGCAGAACGCCCAGAGATTGCCCCCCGGAGGTCTCATTATCCCAAGGAGGAAGACACGCTACCTCCTTCGATCACAACACCTCTACCAGGTAATTATTCCCAGTAGGAATTCTACAATCAGACTCCGGAAACGTGCAACGCTGACTGATCCATCAATCATCAATCATCCTCAACGTCATGAAGATTACTATGTAGCACGATGGCTGTATACCCGATGGTTTCTCTCTTAGAGCACGCCATCATTGCTTACTCAAGAGGAACACCACCAAATCCGCTGACTCACCACCCCGCACAAGGTTGAAATCAGTAACTTACTGCAGAGAGATACAGGAGACTATAAAATGGGCATGCGACGTATCCTCACATCCCACACAAAACAACCTCAACTCATCCCACCTACATATCACCCCAAATATGCCCGAAACATTGACGCTTTACACCGCCAAAGTAAGCCACCCCAGTCCTATAGTTTATCCTCCCCCTTCTGAAGCTGATTTTGGCAACGTAGCTTTGCCCATACGCTCAACGGGTATGTAGTCTTCCTGGGACCAGATGTGATTAAATTCTGTTGCTGAAGTGCGTTGTTGTTCTGTAGGTTGAGATCGCTCTCGCCGAGACAAAACTACCTTTCACAAGGTACGAGATCGATCTTGGGAACAAACCAGACTGGTTTACACCGAAAGTGAACGCTGCAGGCAAGGTAGCATCTCTTCGTTGTCACAATGTCTCCGTTGTCTTTTCAACCATCTTGCACTCCACTAGATTCCGGCCGTCGCATATGGTGGCCCAATTGTCCCTCCAGAAAGCCCCTCCCCTGAATCCCAAAAAATCGCCGAATCCCTCGTCCTCCTCGAATTCATTGCCGACATCTCCGGTGGTGCCCTTCTCCCAAAGGATCCTGTCCTCCGAGCCCGTGTCCGTCTATTCATCGACGTAGTCTCCAACAAGATCACTCCGGCGGTTATAGGATTTGCATTCCAAGGAAAGCCGGTTGATGATCTCTGGACTGCCATCGAAGCTATCCAACCTCTCATTCTCGGAAAATATGCTGTTGGCGATGAATTTACGATTGCGGATGCTGCCCTTATTCCGTTCATCGCAAGAGGGAAGATTGTCTTGAAGTATGATATTGGAAAGTTTGAAGTGGGTGTTGGGTTGAAGGCCTATGAGATCCTTCAGACCGATCCCAGGTTTGAGAAGTTTAGAAGATATATTGCGGATGTCGAAGCGAGGGATAGTTTCAAGAATACGTTCGATGAGGTGTGTTTTCCCTTTGTTTTGTGCCGCTTTGATTTTTTCTGAGGATGTATCAGGAATACCTCAAAGAGTGGTATACCACCCGCTTTGCTAGGAACTGAAGGAGTAATTGGGCATGTATTATTAGGAGTCCCTAACGAGTTGTGGGTGCACTCGACTGTATTTTTACCGCATAAGTCTTCTTATTATCCTCGTCTTGAACTTGCGTTGGAGCCTGACTGTTTGATATGACGCACTTTTATACTGAGTGACAGACCGACATTCTGTATTCAGTTTGACATGGGCCAAAGGACTTTTTGCAGGGACTTTATACTCGTCTGGTCCTGGAAATCATCCACATTCGTTGGGGTTACTACTTGTCATCCACTTGGGAGAACCTCAGGCACCAAAAAAGATGTGGGCAGCAAGGCGGCTTGATCTAATCTTATCAAGGCTTCACGCCTTCAAGAACTCCAACTCCACCAAACAGTGCACCCCTAAAGGGACCACAAAACGAACTCAAACGACAGTACCGTATATGCACCGCGCATGCCTACATACATACATACTTTAGAAATTACCCATTATACAAAAAAAAACATTGATACCTCTGCCTATATACACCATAAAACGAGAAAAACTTTGATAAAAGAACAAAACGCGATAGCAACGACATGGTACACCTTCTTCCACTCCCACTCAGCCGCTCGCTCGCTCGCACAACTCCCCTCGCACAGCTGCTCGTTCACTCACCCAACCCAGGCATCTCATAATCCATCGGAACATCCTTCCTCTCCAACCAAGCAGCATCCTCCCCTCCCAAATCAACACCCTTCCCACAATCTAACCTCCTTCGAGCAGGTAACTCCTTCAACTCAACTTTCAAGTTCAAGTTGAAACTAGGTACCGTTGTTGTTGCAGCCGTCGATTGCAGATGCGAATGTCCATGTGGGTTTGGGTGTGCATGTAAATGTAAATGTGGATGTGCGTTTGCATGGCCTGGTTGGTGTGGATAAGAACTCGTCGAACTTGGACCTGCTGGGATGTATGAAGGAGGTGGAATAGCTCGTGTTGTATTGGTTAACGTCGACGACGTAGTCGAGGATGAAGAAGAACTTCCGTTCCCCAATGCTAATGCCGGAACAATCCCTGTCGTCATCAATGGAGATAAAGAAGTCGAATTCCTTTGATGGACACTGGACGTCGACGCCGATACCGTCGCTGCCGGCGAGGACGAAGACCCCGCGGCTCTTGTAGCCGCAGAAGGAGCGGGAATGGTCGGGACTGGAACCACAACGGGTGATGTCCGCGCACTTCTTTGAATATTCAACGCTAGGTGGTCATCTTCATCATCGTCATCTATACCCATTCCCATCGGTTTCGCCACATTCATCGGCACCCCTAGTACACCTCCTCCCGCACCTGAACCCACCCCTCCTCCACCAACACTCCCCACACCCAACCCACCACCGCCATGTCTCACAACAACATAATGTTCCCCATGCCACCCAACAAAATCCACACTCCCAACTTCCAAAGCGATACTACGGGCACTCATAGACCAAACTTCGGTTTGCATTTGATATTCTTTTTCTGATAAGAGGTTTGGTTTTGGTCTGAATTGTGTTGAACATTGGAAATGCAATAGTTGTAAGGAGTGGAATTTGGAGAAGTGGGGTGCGTATTTGTTCTGTTACGAATGGTGTGAGTGGGGTGAACAAAAAAAGGGAGAAAGGGACATACCATCGGAACTTCAGAAACCAAAGTCGAGAGATGAATAGCAACCATCTCTCTCGGTATACTCTCCACAAGTCTCTCAACCTTCTCTCCATTCACATTCTCAATCCTCACTCCAAGCACTCTCAACCCTTTCAACTCCGGTAGCACACTAGCCACCATCTCCCAAGGACAACTCCCCAAATCCAACCTTCTCAATTTCTCCCTCTTCCTCAAGAACTGAGTTACGTTTTGATACAACCCAGCATCACCACCCATCGCACCACCCACCATAGCATCATCCCCTCCACCATTCTCATCTTGTCCCACCAACACAAACCGAAATGCTTCTAGGTGTGGTAGGAACGTATGTTTCCCATCAATAACATGATCACTACCAAACACCACCGAAGCCGAACTAGGTTCTTCAAATGTCCCATGTAACGTCAAACTTTGCAAGTTATGCGCATGCGCGATTCGGGCTAGGACGATATGACTTATTCGAGTATCAACCAAGTCGAGGTGGGTGAGGTTTTTGATGGTGACGGATTGGAACGCAGTGTCCCAGGAATGGTGTCGGGCTAAGTAGGCTCCGAGGATGAGGTGGCGGAGGGTAGATTCGTTTTGGTCGAGGACGGTACGAACTTCTCCCATGTCAGCGAAACCGTCGTCGTCTTCAGCGCGTAGAGTAAATTTGCGGAGGTTTCGGAAGGCAGAGACGCCTACGGCGTCAAAGTGCCATCCACTGTGCGGTAGGTTAAGGGAGGGTTCCATGGGGAAAGTGGGACGACGTACATTAGACCTAGACCATGTAGACGTGGATGACTTGATAGAACGGCATCAACCATGTCTATTCTCATTTCTGGATATCCTATCCATTCGAAATCTTTTAGAGCTTTGAACTCTGGTAGTGCGGTTCGGAATATCCCTAAACAAACGAAAAATAAATGAATTAGTTCGGTGTTTATAGCCCATTACGCGGAGAAGGGCTTCGGACGTACTGGCCATAAGGTCCAACATGTCACCCTCTTCATAAGCCCAGTGAACACGTAACGATTTAACCCGGCTTGCAAATATGGGGTCGGCTTTTGCTCTATCAAATATATCCAACCCTCTGTTGAGGTTTTCGGGGTCTTCACCAAAGTATAGATCGATGGTGTGAAATATGTGTCTGACAGCGATGTCTCGATGGAAGGAAGAAACGAATAACCAGGTTCGGAGATGGTAACGGGGGATATGCATTGCTATGCGTTCCCAGATTTCGGGTGGGGCACGTTGTGAAGCGGGTTCATGAGCAAAGTGGATCTATTAGACGGAGTCAATGGTGGTGCCAAAAAGTAGCGGGTTGGTAGATTAGAGAGTGTTTTGATTCAACTTACGAGTTTATTTTTTCGGTAAAGGCTCTGGACTTTACGATTCCCTGGATCGATTCTTGCTACTGTTTGAAAGTCTGGTGGTGAAGATGATGAGGTTGAGGAAGCTGTGAGGAGATAGACACTGACCTTGGTGCGCTCGTGCGAGTAACCTATCCGATGCAGCTTTCCTAGCTTTCCCTCGAGCTACCAGAGCACGAACAATATCCGCCTTCGGTAGGTTTGGTGTTTTAAGATATACTTCGATATAATTTTCAACATCAGAGCCATACTGGCCAACTTCGATCAACGACAAGGCAGTGTCCAATAAAAAGTTTGCTTTTCTCGACGCAGACAAAGCCTGGATTGCGCCAAAGACGGTTGAGGTGAGTTCATCGTGAGGAGGGGGAGGGGAAGTCATGGGTGTGTTGGAAGAGAAGGAAGGAGGAGTGGTTGAGCATGGAAAAGGATGTTTAGTTTGAGTGTGAGTCCAGCCGTCCTTCGTTATTGGCTCGAACCGTCCCAGCCACGTGTCCCTCATCCGTCCCCTCGGTTCAGATCTCCATCGCCAGTCCCACACGCCATCTCCGCCGTCTTGTGTCGATACCCAGTTCGCCGGGCTGCACCAGACACCGCCCTTCTATCTATACCGCAATGTGACGGTCGCTTGTGACCAGCCGTCGTAGCCTAATGGTTAGGGCGTCGCTTTCCTACAACGGATAGCAAAGCAGGCGAAGGTTGTGGGTTCGACTCCCACCGTCGGTAGAGGTTACCTTTTTTGTTTGCCTCGAGGTCAAACTCTAACTCTGCTACCTGCGCTTGAACATTTGAACCCTGCCGATCACTTGCACTCTCTCTCCACACCCCACCACTTGGCACGGCACCATGCCACCTAAAGCGCTCAGTAATGGAACTCTCAGCCTGCGTTTCATGCAAAATGCTCTACGGGCTAAACAACAAACCCAAGTTGAACCTGAACGCGCGGAGATACATGACGATGGGAAATGGGAAGTTGCTCAGGATGTGAGAGATGCTTGGGGTGAAGCGGACTCTTCGTGAATGTTTTCTTTCATTTCTTCACTTCAAAAGGAAGTTCGTTTGACTTGCTGATACCGGTTTTATGGTACAGGACAACGTCGACTTCGAAAGGGAGAGTCACATACGAAACTTCTTACCTACCCTTTCTATTTCCTTCCTCTTCGGACCAGGAGGACGGGGAGGATGAGGAAGAGGATCAAGAGGAGGGCGAGTCTATGCCCACCGCGCAGGCCCGTCGTAATAAGATTCAAGGTCGAAGAGTATTCGGAAAGAAAGGCAAAGAAATCGTGTACCAAGACCAGACTGGGAGTGACTACGAAGAAGGAGGAGGAGGGGTACGCTTTTGTCTTTATCGTTCACCCTCTTTCTTTTCATTGTTTGAATAGGAACAGCATAAACCGAATGACTCCCCCGATCAAACCCAACCAAAATCTCGTGTTCATCCCAACCCCAAACCTCTAAACTCTGCCAATGCCGGTCGACTCCTCTCAGGTCTTCAAGAACCCAATGTAGGCGCCAGCAGCGGTGGCAGCGGAAAGGATACAACATCGACGCGTCCCAAGAGGAAGACAACTGTATCTGCCATTACGACGATTAGCCGTTCGTATACAAGTACTTCAACAAACGCAAGTAAACCATCAGCTCGAGAAGCTATATATTCCGTTCAAGGAACAGGAATGGATTTACGACAGACTCATAAACCCCCACCACCTCCCGCTGTGAGTGTGGGGTTCCTTAAACCATCGGGGGTGGACGATCCAAACGAACTCCGGTCACATCCTGCTGCTGGTCCAACCTCTGCTTCCACCTCTGCCTCTGCCTCTATCTCCGGGGCAGCAACTGCTCCTCCTAATTCCCAACAAGAAGACAAGGAGATAATACAAAGCGCACGAGCAAAACCCACACCCAAACCTAAACCTAAACCCAAGGCACCCGCAAAGAAAGGCAAACGAGAACGAGAATCAGGGGACGAACTCGATGAGGCGCCTACCGCTATTGGAGACACACCGCCCAAGAGGAGAAAGAAAAAGAAGAGTGTTGGGACGGCGGCGGCTGGTGGTGAGTAGTAGTGCCGAGCGCTCGGTCTTCCACGCCAGCGCTTGACGTTGGCATATACGCGCACGACGGGGGAGAAATTATAATGATAAACGGTGCGCATATACAGTACTCTACGCTGCACTACTTTTGTACGACCTCGATATATGCGCAAAAAAATAGAACACCGTTTACGTATTAACTTGTCCACTTTCTAAGCCAACTGAATTATCCACAACACGAATAATAACCTTCCGTACGCTTTTCTTTTTCTTCTCTTCCGAGTGCGGATAGCTACACGCCTCTTTTACTTCTCCCCCCGCGAGGATCCGTAAATAAGGTCGTATGGCATTCGAGTTTGGAATGAGGAGACTGACAGTAGGCATGTAGGCGGTCAGACAGTGGGTAGTTCGAAAAAGAAAGGAAAGGCAGAACTACTAAGAGAACTGAAGTTGTAAACCCCTCTCAAAGTGCATATCAGATTGAGGTTGATTGGGAACGCTGATCAGCCCGATGTCAGACCTAAATGTGCATATATTGAGTCAACGTCGAACCATATGTCGATGAAGAATTTTTTTTAAAAAAAGATGGACAGGAGACAGGAAGCCAACCTACCTACTTCAACCATGCGGTTTACTCCCATCGCGTTTATCTGCGATGTTGATTTCTATAGGATGAGTGAAGACTGAGTGAGACCTTTAACCCTCAACATACAACATGTCGTCAGGTGCGGAGGCCGTATAAGAGCTCTCCGACCTTCAAGTTGAGGAGGGACTTCTTGGTCATGGCAACTTTTATTGACACGGAGGCGGGTATGTCGTCCAATGCTGAAAAAAGATGTAGGAGATACGAGAAATATTTGCGTGAAGACGAGGTTGTGGTGTTCTGGTACTTTGAGGGCCCGTTTCGGGGCGAGCACTTGATAAGGATAGAGGAGAAGGATAAATTACGACCATCACGGCTGATACAGGAAGACTTTGATCATCCAGCGTATCATCAGGCCAAGAGCCGTTTCGCGGTCAAATTAGCTTCTAGGCTAGCGGAAAGAAGTAGGCTGAAGGATTGGATCGAGTTTTATGAGTCTTCTGATGAGGAGTATAGTTAAGATGGAAGTTCATACCAGCTTTTTTTTTAGGAACTCCTTTACCTTTTCTGAGAATTTTATCAAACTTTCTCAATGCAAGGTGCGTCCACAATGGTTCGTGACGCGTGAAGACTTGTCGAACTCCCCTCTTCGCAAATACCAGCATCCCAGGAATACCCAAAGCTCACCTCGGCGCCATCTTTTGACTCTGAAAGACAAAGCAGATGAGGTGCGAACATGTCTGTCGTTTTTGGGTACAACAAGAGTGAGCGTTGATTCAGAGAAAAGAACCGAGCTACTGACTCACCTAAATAGACTTGGATTGCGAAAAACGCGTTGCCAGCAGTGGCTGCTTCAGGGCGTTGGACTCGTTGAGCCGGAGTTGAAGCTGAAGTCCAGACTCCAAATGTGGGAGGTCCCTCGGTTCCTGAACCAAACATGGTCCACCAACTGTTGTCCTCGTCATATCCTCATGCCCACTGGCAAATGCACCGTATACCCCCTGTTACTGGGTACCTTCGACGTGTTGGGCGTCTTTGTGGCTAACAATGCACTGTCTCCATAACCTCATGAATTCTCTTCGTCGGGGATGGGGCACACCCGGTGTCCGGAGACAGAACTCAACCAACGAAAATACCCGTTTTTGGGCCTCAAATCTGCAAATTTTTGGCCATTTTCGACCCTGAATTTTTTCTCGAGTGCAGATATGGACTCAACTCACCACTCCCAACATTTTTCATTTTTAAAATTTGGGTCTCAAATCTGCAAAGTTGCGGACACCAAATTTTGGGAGCTTCCCGGGTCCTCCGACGTCTCGGAGCAGTCGCACCATTTTGAACCTTACTTTGAAGTACAAATCTTGAGTTCGTCTCTTTCTATTATCTTCCATTTAGTGCTAAAAACCTCTAAAATAAGGAACGCAGCTGTCGAATGGAGCACACAGCATATCTACAAGGATTGTTGTACCGGCGATAGCGCACGCCTAAATTTAGCGATCTATGGCGTCAGTTACGCATGGCCCTCCGTTCCGATGGCAGACTATAAATAATCGAGTGGCTCTCATCATGGCCTGAAAGTGAAACCGGGCCATTTCCTATCTACTGGACGCCGCAACGCGCTCAGTACCCAGGCCTCCCTAGTAATCCACCTTTTCTCCTTCGTCCATTTCAATTGCAAAGTCACAAAGGATGTCGGTCTCAGCCACCGCTTTCGAGTATTACTACCCGGAACGTGGATCGTACAACAACCTGAAGATACATGAAGTGCAGATTCCCAAGCCGAAAGGAAGCGAGGTGTTGGTGAAAGTCCATGCTGTCTCTCTACAGGTACGTCCAAATTTCTGCTTCCAGCTTCCAGTTTCATACTCATAACGGTCACAATAGTTTCGTGATCTCGCGATTTCCGACTTTCGCTACCCTCTAGCGTGCGTTTCACCTTGCCTTCTCCTCGACACCTAAAGTGATACTCGAGTCGACTCCTTAACATAGTGCGCCTCCTCACAACCTCGTTCCATGCTCAGACATGGCCGGTGAGGTCATCAGTGTTGGAGAAGAGGTCACCGGTTGGAAACAGGGCGATCGAATCTGCTCCAACTTCTCCACAGATCATCTCTACGGTGACACCACTGAAGCCGTCCAACAAACTTCTTTGGGCGGTCAAACTCAGGGCGTTTTAACTGAATATAGGATTTTTCCTGCTCATGTGAGTTCCGTCTTTCTCTCGAGTTATTTAATGTCCTTGTGCGACGGGACGCCGACACAGAATGTTACCACCGGATACTCATCGCTGTCTTGTTATAGGCCTTAGTCAAGTTCCCAGACCATTTGACCTATGAAGAAGCCTCTACACTGCCGTGCGTATATCAGAAATGACCAGCGGGACGTTGTATCAACTGATCCGGTGTAATGACAGATGCGCCACATTAACCGCATATAACGCCTTGAATGGACCCACTCCCGTCAAAGCGGGTGACTATGTCCTCGTTCTTGGTTCTGGTGGCGTCTCTATGTACGTCCTCTTTATACACCTACTTAACATTCTTCTTATCCTCCACACAGTGCAGGCCTCCAACTAGCTATAGCATCGGGCGCAACAGTCATCGCGACATCCTCGTCCGACGAAAAGCTGAAAGTAGCGAAAAGCTTGGGCGCTAAACACACCATCAACTATAAAAAGAACTCGAATTGGCATGAGGAAGTTTTGAAATTCGTGAGTGTTTACATCCTCTTCGCGTGTTTCGTGTTGGGAAAACCCAAAACTGACTTGGCCTTGGGTGCTCTAGACGAATGGTGCTGGTGTGGATCATGTTATCGAAGTGGGAGGATATGGAACGCTAGATAAATCGATCAATTGTACGAGGATTGGAGGGTCAATCCATATCGTTGGGTTCGTTTCGGGTGTAAGTCTTCCTACCTGGTTTATCATTATCTACGAGCTGCTCACGATACTATCAGGGAACGCCTAGCGACTTCCTCTTCCCAGTTATAACCAAAGCTATCTCCCTACGTGGGATCTATATCGGGTCTGTTCACCAGTACGTTCATTACACTACAGCGTCCTTGCCAGCGCTCACCATGTTTCCCTTTTCCTTTGCCCTTAGGTTCAAAGA